TTTAGATTAGACAATCATCTTTGCAAGATTTTTACAAGTAAAATAAAATATTCATTTCTTTTTTATTGCGATGTAACTGACATATAATATTGTGTAAGTTTAAGGTATACAACGTGTTGATTTGATACTATTCATTTCTTTTTTTTGTTTTTGTTTTGTTTTGTTTTTAAGATTTTATTTATTTATTGGACAGACAGAGATCACAAGTATGCAGAGAGGCAGGCAGAGAGAGAGGGGAGGAAGTAGGCTCCCTGCAGAACAGAGAGCCCAACACGGGGCTCGATCCCAGGACCCTGGGATCATGACCTGAGCCGAAGGCAGAGGCTTTAACCCACTGAGCCACCCCGGCGCCCCCCATTTCTTTTTTTTTTTTTTTTTTGAATACAAAACAAAGCCTCCTTTTTTCAGAAATAAAGAGATGAAGACATGTAGATCTCTTCTTATAAGAGCTCTTCCTGCCCTAGGACATACCATGCTGTATTATGGTATTATGACTGTGTTGTTCATTTCTCCAGTTTCATTACTTCTTTGGACACTGGTGAGTTTAAAGTTAAAGACATTCTTACACTAATTGATTACATTTTTTACTTTGCACAATATTTACTGAGGACGTGGTATTTTTTTCTCAGTGCTTTGTGGGTTATAAATGTGTTAAAATATTAATCCTTTGTAATATTTTTTCTAAGTATTCCTTACAGTTGTTTTCTGCCTTTTCATCTTCTCTATTTCTTTCACATGTAGAAATATCACATTTCTATGATGCTAACTCAACCAACTCATGATTTCCATTATTATGTCTAAACAGGAAATTTGAGAAATTTTAATGGAGAGCGCAAAAAAAAAAAAAAAAAGAAGAGGCAAAAGTATTTTTATCAGAGATTCACCAAAGACTTTGTTAGGCTTTTCCAATGATTTTTAACAATACTACTAATCCCCTTCTTTAAATTCAGCATCTAAGTCACACCAAGAAATACTGTTGATATTTATAACAGTAACCATATGTAAGTATGTACTTTGATGGTGGATTCGTAGCAACTTAGGTTTCATGTAAGAATAAATTCTAAACTGTAGAGAAAGTGGGATTACCTAGTTCCCATGTTATTTCTCTCCTCTGGGTTAATTAGACTAATTTTAAAGACAAAGCTTAGAACTAACACTGACAAGATTGAAAATAGGTCTTGATGGGCACTTAGTTGCTTCAAAAGAATGCCCAAACAGTTTGAACCTAACAAGTTTTTAGAATCTACTGATGAAACAATTCAGCCATTGCCAACTATCTCTGGGAGGAATTCTGCTCTTACTATTCTTTATATGATAGACAGTATCCTAGGGTCTTTTGGTATATTAATCCCAATCTTCACAAAATATTTTTCTTTCTTTCTTTCTTTCTTTTTTTTTTTTTTTTTTTATTTTTGTTTGATTGTTAAAGAGAGAGAGAGAGAGAGACTGAGCAGGGGAGCAAAGGGGCAGAAGGCAAGGGAGAAGCAGACTCCCAGCTGAGCAGGGAGCCCGACAACTCTGGGCTTGATCTCAGGACCCTGAGATCATGATCTAAGCCGAAGGGAGACGTGTAACTGACTGAGCCACTCAGGCGCTCCACAAAATCTTTCAAAATAAGTATGTCACAGATGGGAAAATAAGGGCTCAGAAAGGTTAAATAACTTGCTCAAGCTTACCTAGCACATAAGTAGTTGAGCTGAGATCTCTGTTGATGCAAAAAAATCTCTACTTTTCCTACTATGCCAACTGCCTTCCAGAACCTTATCTATTTTGTGTCAAGAGCATCCAATATGCAAGGCATACAACTAAGTACATTATCTCATTTACCCACAAAGTAATGGGCTTGACATTATTGGTCATTTGATATTGATACTGCTGACAAGATTTTAAAACTGGTAGTTAAAAAGATGGTTTTTGAGCAGTGGGCAAGGGCTCAACCACTAGAAGCCAGTAACGCTTTGTTAGGAGTAAGTCATGTCTGCTTATCCTCACAATGTCCATTTTTAATTTGGTCAACAGCTGTGACAGCAGAGGAAGGCGGAGTTATTCCGACAAGCTTTTGAAAAGGTCTTTCTTATCATTCTGTTTCTTGAACATTCTGAGCTAGATGAGGATCTAATTCAGTGAACTCCACTCAGAGAGCTTTGACTAATTCATGATGTCTTTAACCAATCTTTTTTTATTTATTAATCAGAATAAGGACATGGAGATGGTATCAACTCTGTTGATCCTGTGAAGCCAAGAGGAACAGCTAATACATAAGATGAATGAACCTTGATCCAGAAAAATTTCAACAGATGGAATGAATGACATGAAATTTAACAGAGCTGAAAGGGAAGTCCTCCACTCTGTTCCAGGAAAAAGTGTTCATATACTAGTTGGTGGGACACAGTACTTTATAGTTTTTGGTGAAGAGACTGAAGAATCATTAATGTGAAGACTCAAGGAATGGGGGGAGAGACCCACAGCCGTGTATCTGACTGAGGACACCCATGGCACTCTTTCCTCATGAGGCTCCTACTGTGCTTTCAAAGGGACCTGATAAACACAATAGGTGCTGGAGAGAGTTTCTGTGACATGAGTCCTCAAATGCATGTCTCCAATTACACGATCAACAGTTAAAGGAACTAGAAAGGTTTAACTTGGAGAAGACTTAAGGGAGACTGAATGTTAGTCTTCAAACTTCTGATGGGCTAAATTGGAGAAGAACATGGAAAGGGTACTTGGTATACGTGGGCTTGGAGGGGGATAGTTAAGAGAGGAAATTAGACAGGATAGACTTGGCTTCATATAAAGAAGTACTTTCTGACACAGCCATGGAAAAACAAAATGAACTATTTCAAATAAGTAAGTCCCTTAACTTGGACTCTTGCTCAATCACACAGGAGGACTGACCATTTGAGAGGGATGCTGCAGGGGAATTTTACCATTCAGTGGAGGTTTGATCATATGGTTGCTAAGATCCCTTCCTAGCCAGAGATTCTACAATGTCCTGAAAATGGCCTATGTAAAATATGTAGCTAATGATACAAGAAAAAAAGTGACTAGTGTGAAAAAGAAAAGCATTAAAAATTCCAAAATAAACAAGAAAACACTAATTATCTGACTTAAGGCATGTTTCCTAGAACTCTAGCTATTTGGTTTATTTATCTGGCCTAGTTCCCAAACTTGTCAGTGTATGGGAACACTCACTTTCCTGGGCCACATCTGGAAGGCTCTGATTTAGCAGATCTGGGTAAACTATTTTTAAAAAGTAATTTTTAAAAAATTCTCTTGGTGATTCTGATCCTCAAGCAGTTTGGGAGGCCACTGAAAACCTAAACTTACTATAGGGGTACTTATATTTTGCATAAGAAATATGTATGTATGTATGTGTCTGTGTCATGCTTGAAAAAAACTTAATAATGATTTTAACCAATCTGTTAATATTTAAAGCCACTGTAGTTTAATATTCGAGTGCCTATGCAGGGAGCAAACTCCACTTCAGTATCCTAAGCTCTAACAGCTTAGGACATAAAAATTAAAAATATCACAACTTTTAATATTATGAATAGATCTTTTGTATTTTTTTAGTATTTCTATCTTAGATAGAATGTTGTAAAAAGTAATGGCATTCTTTCCTAAACAAGTAACAGAAAAAAATCAAGAAAACAGATATTATTCACACATACATACATTCTAGTTTAAATACCTACTTTTTTTCTTAAGTTCCCACTTGGATTGGCAAAGTCTCAGAAAATGCAAGAAGTCGTCACTCCCCGTTAAAGATCATTAAGAGCTTACTAGTATTAAAAAAAAAAAAAAAAAAAAAAAAAAACTGTGAGTGGGATAGTAAACAAATCAATACTCAATTTCTTGAAATTATAAATATTGAAACTTAAGTGTTTCCTCAATATTTCATGTTTAACTTACAAGTTTATAGAAAAAAAAATTTTTTAAATCTAATAAATTTTAAAAATGTTTTTAAGGAAGCTTTTTTTACCTAGTCAATTAGATTCAAGGTGGTCAATTTTAATGTAATAAGAATAACCTTATTAAATCATCAATTAAATTTTGATTCTCTCCATAAAGAAAAAAGGGGACTCTTTTTCAGATTGGTGTTAATTTTTTAAGCATTTCTAAGTGTACACTATGCGAATGAAGTCCTTTCCCAGGAGTCTGGTAAGAGGTCCTGCTTCCTTGTCTGTTTTCATAAAGGGCTTTAGCAAGAATGTAACAAAACTCCCATCATCCAACAACCTTTGATTCAGGACATCAATCCACTATCTAAGACTTCCTGGACTTGGAAGTAAATGGTTTCTAAGACTTGTCCTGGCTAAGGCTTGACTCCCCTGTCCTCGCAGAGGATGCAGGGACATACTAAAAGAAGAGAGGAAGAAGAAAGAGATGAGTCTGCAGTAAGTTTCCTGTAGAGTACAAGACCGGTGATTACCGAAGATTTGGAAGACGTTATGAATTAGAATGAAGGAACCCACACGCACGGGAACAACAAACACATCCAGATCCAAAAGAGTGGGACTTATAAGTAGGTAAGTAAATAAATAAGTTAATTAATTAATTAACTAAATCCATAAAAGCAATATTAGGAGATAATTATTTGTATTTCCTCAATGTTAAACTTTGAACGTCATTTTGCTAAAAATAATTCCTACATTAGACTTTATGTTGATGGATGTAAAAAATAGTGACAGTATATTTATCGGGAAATCTAAAAAAAAATTCTTCTACTTGGTTTTTTGCTATCTGGCAGGCTGCCCCATGCATCTCATAGTGAAAAAGGTTCATGGTGACAATGACCTGGCCAATTAGGTTAATGGTGAATTTTCATTGGTGTTTGCCAGAGGAGAGAGGAGAGCTTTATCAAATTCTCAACTGAAACTGAGAACAGAGAGCTTCTGAATGAATCCCTCTGATGCACATACAATTCCTTTCAATTATGGTTTGGACAGGTCAAATATTTTCACACCTTTTCCTTTAGTAGGAGGAAACGTTCTACTTACAGATGCACAAGACGATGAGAAAAAGGAGGTACGTGGTCAGCTCCCGTAAAACACTTTTAAGATACTTCTCTCGGTTAGTGCTGCTTTCTTCCATGAGTCTTGTTCCCCAGAGACCTTTAAAAGAGTAATGAAAAGTATGAATGACAAAGAGGAAACATAAAATAAATAGTATCACCTTTAAGGGGGATTCTCCTGTATTATTTTTTTTAATAGGCATTCTTCACCTTTTTTTTTTTTTTAAGATTTTATTTATTTACCTGAGAGAGAGAGAGAGCATGAGAGGGGAGAGGGTCAGAGGGAGAAGCAGACTCCCTGCTGAGCAGGGAGCCTGATGTGGGACTCGATCCCAGGACTCCAGGATCATGATCCGAACTAAAGGCAGTTGCTTAATCAACTGAGCCACCCAGGTGACCCTGTATTTTTTTTTTTTAAGCAGGAGTGCCTTTTAAGAATACATCAGCCTCTACTGTCCCCTCAGATGCATCAAATACAAGACGACAATCTGATCATTGTCTAAATGCCCCATCCCATCAGAAAATGTCTTAGTAAAAATTTATAAAGAGAAGAGGAAATAAGGGACCCTCAGGAGAATGTATTAAATAATTGTGCACACACACATGTGCTCTTCCTGGGTGGGGGAGGACACAACCTGGCAATTATCCTCTCCCTAAACCTAGTTAGGACATGCGTAACTCTATGACACAAGACACCTTTTGGATCACCCCTGATGAAAAGAAAGCCTGGTTGGAGCATCATTTCACTATGGAAATATCCACCAAACTTCTAGCACACTGGCCCCAAATTTTGCTAATCTGTAACCCTCTTTTTCCTTTAAGAAACTCAATGCTGACCGACTACTCTCAACCTGCGTATCTTAACAGATTTGAAAAATGCTAAATAACATATCATCTTTAAGTTAAAAGGAGCAATCATCCGATTTCTCTCTCTTTGGAGAAAGAAGAAAATCAGCAACCATGTTCCATATTTTAGCGGATGGAAAAAGTGCTGGGCTGGCTGAGCGGGGATGACATAACCCTCTGTGAGTGAGCTTGCTCGAGGCCGTTACCGCAGTTTTGGACTCACTCAGCAGACAGACATGGTGGCCATCCAAAACCCCCATTAATGAACAGTGCGGTAAAATCACATTGCTGGCTACTTGGAAGAGCCTTAGCGTTTGCCAAAAAGAACAAACTTCTCAATCCTTTCGGTTAGATTAATTTGGCTGTGAATGGCAGCCAGCCTGGCCCTGGCGTTCTGCCTCACGCGTTTAGTCCACAGACTTTAACTCCATCCATCATTGAAACTCACACAGCTACTTAAGCCACCAACAAGCCACACAGAGGACAGGGAAAAATGGCATCAAGCCTTTTACTTCCCGGAAATGACTCCATCACCAGTGTTTATGTATTTTTAAAGTCTAAAAATAATACATTAATTCTCCTCCTAAATTTCAGTATTCCGTGTCCTTTTCTTTTTTTCTCCCAAATTTCCTTTAGGAAAAACAGCAACTGAAATCAAAGACACTGTGTTACGCATCACAGGTTTCAGCACACGGAAAGTGGAGCAGGACTTATGACCATGTTTGCTTCTGCCAAGATCTGGTAGTTGTCAGGGAATTACTCACTCAGAAGAAATGCAGCAAGCAGAATGTTTGTTCGCTGAAACTCTATCATATTTAAAAATTATTACAAATTTAGACGACATGGAAAATTACAACTCAGAATAACATAGAGGCAGCCGAACATTAGGCTCAGTAGCCCTGGACACAATCACACTATTTCTTTGGTTGTATTTCTTTTGGAGACCAGGCCTAAAATATATACACAAGTGGAGATTACTAGTCTTTTTATCATCAGGAAAGATTGTTGTCTTGCCTCAGTCAGTGATTTCACTCTTTCCCATGGTTTATAAACAATTATGCACTAAGGAATGGTCATGGTTCTTAATATTTACAAATGGTACTGCTTGACCTATAAGCAGAAAAACCAAACTCTCATCAAATTTTATTTAAGTAAATGTGCAATGGTCTACTGCAATTTAATTCAAGCCCTCAAATGAAACATTTCAAATAAAAAGAAACAAAGTCCCCTAATTTATATTTTTATGTATTATACTTTATGCATTTCATTGACTTTCTAAATTAGTCTATCCACTTCCTCAACTATTTATCACTTTCAAAATTTCATCCAGTTTCTGCACTGGGTGCATATAAAGGGTCTGTCTTAGGACACGGGGACCTCTTTACATTCTGATGAGTGAGAAGTGGCTGTGTTCACAAACAGAAAAAAATTGCTGTCCTATGGCTAACTACTTCCCATGTTTAGCAGAGCTGACAGACTGAGAACGGTTAAAGACAGAGTTCTTGTCCCAAGTGTCAGCGTTCTTCAAAATCAACTGCTGTCTTTTCCCACAACTGTCCTCACCCTGGAGGGAGAACATGGCCAGCATTTAAGGCACTCACTCACACTTAGTATATAAAGTGTCCCTGGCTGTTAGGGAGAACATGGTATGAGGGGGACACCAGACAATATCCAGCTTCTCTCGTGTTTAAGAAGGTGCTGGTCAATGCCACAGCCCAAAGTTGGAGTATGTCATCTCAACAGTGTGTATTCCCCCAGGCAGTGGTACTTATGCATATGAACACAGGGGAACTCTGAGATAGATCATTCAAAACACGAAAGATGTCTCAAACATAAATAATTGCGAAAAAACCGCCATTTTTGCAACTGTCTTATTCACCTACTTCCCAAAGTGTTATTTCTGCAATACACAACAAATATCACAGAGAGAATGATATAATGATGTCCTATGTATCTCTCACTCAGCTTCAACAATTATCAACTGAACACCTGCATTCATCGAAACCCTCACTCGCTTCTTCCCAATTTTGAAACTAATTCCAGCTATCGTATGACTTCATCTTGAATATTTCAGTTCCATGGTTAAAAGATTCTGTGTGGACCATTTGCCTCATACTAACCCTGTCCCTTCTGATGGACACTAAAGCCCCATGACTCATTGATCACGATAGGGTGCAATGTGGAATTTCGGAGTCAGTTGCGTTCAACTGCGGGATCGGTCACGTATGAACTGGGGGACCTTATCAAACATCATAAGCCTCCATTTCCTCAGCTGAAGATGGGATAAAAGTATCTCCTTGTGGGGTTGCTCTGGGAATTAGAAATATTATGTGTAAATTGCATAAAGTACTTGAAAGAGGCCTATGTCTCCAGAAACAGGCGCAACTCTGAAAAATATCCTACTTTCTGACACCTACTTGGCCTAAATTTCAGAACAGTGTAAACACCCAAATCCGAACGAACCTCGATTTCACTGTGAACAACCTAACCAAATTCTCACTGCATTTCTATCATGAAAGGAGTCTGGTTGGGCCTTGTTGAGGAAGACAAACATAGTCTTTCCAAGTATTTATTTGAACTGCAGGCCCAACTTTAAAAAGGGAAGTGACCTTTTCCCTACTATTGGCCCATTTAATATAGAATATTTGGTTGCTACCTTATATGTTATTGACTCCCGAATCTTCAGTTCTCAGTCGGTCCTCTCCTGAGGTATAGACAGGCAGATGACACAGCTAACAGCCAGTTCTACCTGCATATTCCACAGACAGCTTGTACTCGCATGCCCCACACTGAGAGTTTTTTCTTTCTTTGTCTAGAAACCTACTTGCCCTTATGGGTTAATGGTACCAAGCCGGAAACACGGGTTTCATCTGAGAAGAGGCCCTTTTCTTAACCCTCGTATGGAGCTGGTCCACAATTCTGACGGCTTCTGTCTGTCTCCAGTCCAGCTTCCCTCTATCCCAGCCCACACACCTTGGTTGCAGTCGTTGTTACCCCCTGTCTCTTGGTTAGCCCTCTCCTGACCTATTCTCCCACTAGCCAGCACTATGCACTTCACTCCATTCTCCACATTCTTGCTAGAATCATCTTCAGATGGACATGTGACCCTTATCAGCCCTCTTCCTGAAATCTCTATGAGCTCTAACTTTTTAGAGGGAAAAACTTACCAATAAGCTCAAGGTTTGCCTCATCTTACCTCTACTACTTTTCCCTCCTTAAATTCCCCCCTCATCCTTCAAGATGTTAACTCAAGTTTCATTTCCTCTGACCTCCTCCCATAGAGTTGGTCCTCTCTTCTTTGGGTCCCTCCCAACCCTGGGACCCCGCATTGCAATTATTTACTTACACCTGTTTTCCCTCCTAAGCTGAGCTTCTTGAAAGCTGGGACCTTGTCTTATTGATCTTTGTATCCCCAGTATCCACCACAAAGGAAACTCTCACAAATGTTTATTGACTGAACAAATTCTGTTACTAGCATAACCTTACCACATACCCCACGGTAGCAACACTCCCTCAAAAAAATCCCCACAGCTACAGAAATACAAAATCTTGTTTGTTCCAAATTATAGTGCAAATAAAAAAAAGGATGAAGTGATGGAGTGAGGTTTGGGTTTAAAACAAAGGGAAACTCACAACAGCCAAAAGGTGGAAAGAACCCATGTGTTCATCAACTGATGATGGATAAAGCTTGAAAAATTACGCTAAGTGAAATAAGCCAGATGGTAAAGGACAAATACTGTATGATTCCACTAATACAATGTACCTAGATTAGAAAAATTCAGAGACAGAAAGTAGAATAGAGGTTGCCAGGAGCAGGGCAATGTGGTAATGGGTAGAGCTTCTGTTTGACATGATGAAAAAGTTCTGGAAGTGGGCAGTGATGATACAACATAGTGACTAGGAGAGGAGGTATCTATTTGTTATAGCAGCTTACCCACCCTACCAATTCAGCTGATACTTGAGGATTTCTCCAGGAAAACAAAACCCCAAGCACAGACATTTAAAATAACGGGAGATGACTTTACCAAGTTGATACATCCATAGAACATATTCAATTCTGGAAATTCAGATAATTTGATTACTCATGTAAAGTGTCAAATTTTATTTTTGCACTAAGAAGAGGGTACTAAGGAAAAAGTAAAGAAGATTACTGGGGCTATCTTTTAAGTTTGGGGGCAGTCTTTACATCCTTCAGCCATCCTTCACTTTCTTTGGTCCGGACCGTCACTACTTCTTCACTGACTGCCTACATGGTCTTCCTGCCTCTCTGCCTCTCTGCGTCCCTGTGCAAGCTTTTCTGCATAGCACACTGCCTACTGATATCCTCTATTTCTGCATGTTTCTGGTCTTGTTAACAACTTGCAACTGCTTCCTAATATTTAGGGATAAAATCTCAGTTCCTTGGTTGGACATAGTGTTTCCCACAACCCTGCCTCAAACATATCTTCTTTACCATCTTACTCCTGCTAAGAAGATAGATCGAATTATTATACCAAGAGCAAAAAGGACCCTTTGTTGTCTATCTCGGATTCATGTCATTAAAGAACATCACAGAGTATGCTGAAGCCAGAAAAGACTTTGGAGATGAGGTTATGAGGAATAGAGGCCCAGGAAATAAGTGAGGTGTATAAAGTCAAGGAGGAAGGCAGGAGACCTCCAGGAAAGCTCCTGACCACTCCAAGCTTGAGTAATCTTGAGTAATTGCAAGTTACTTTCTGTTCTAATCCTAGGGTACTATTTACACAATGCATGTAAGATTTTTGTCATTGGTATCCCATGAGGGAAAAAAAAATCACAACTCATTGATGGTTATTTATTTTACTTTACTTGGTTTCTGTCCATAGGAAAATGGTGATGGTGCTGTTTTAGTTGGTTTTTTTTTTTTTTTTTTTTTGGTGGTGGGCGGAGCACCTAGTACAGTACTACAGTGCTAATTTCATAGTAGGTGCTAATTATTCAATGAATGTCACTTATTTAATAAGCGATAAGTATATGTTTAATTTTTAATATATTTAATAAAATAAAATTTATTCTAATATTTTCTAAGATTAACATTTTCCTGTGTCTTCCCCTACTAATTAGAGCATTGATAAGGTTCAACTAGAAGTTCACTATAAGCTTCTATGCTGTAAATTTTTTGAAAGAAAATTTTTGAAGAACTACACTTATAAACTCATATAAAGATATAGATTTCATTTCATTACATTCCATTATTGAATTTATTCAAAAAAGGTTAAAGGATTATTATGCTTATTCACTAACTTGTAAAAAACTTCTCTTACTGCAGTGAATATTTTTTAAAGCACATTTAAAACAACGTAAAATAATAATTTGGTTGCATAATTTTGAACCTTAAAAAGCATAAGGGTTTTTTACTAACTTATTCACATAGGTTGTTCAAAAAGGACCTTTTGTTCTCCACCATGCCATGAATCAAATTTACAGCATAAACACTTATATAAAAGAAATACAAAAGTATACACTATTAAAAATTTATCATTTAATTTATAATTATGAAGCACTCACATGTCAGACATGCTATGCATTTCACATGTTTCATCTCATTTAATTCTTCCCACTCAGGAACAAAGTATCATGATTCTCTCTTTTTAAGAAAAGCAAAAATTGGGGATCAGAGAGATTAAGCAATTTGCTCAAGGTCATAGGGCCAATGTGTGGTAAAACTGGAATTTGGGTGTAGGGCTGACTTGGTCTTAATCACATTGCTATAAAAACACCTGGATTTTTTTTTGTACAAGATTTGCAAAACTGACAGGGAAGAGTAGGGAAGGGAAATTTTCAAAAGAACTGAGAATGGAAACTCTTAAAAGTGGAGATTAAAATAATTTGAATGTGAAAGCAAATGCAACTCTTTTCCAAGGATGTCTCTGACAAAACCTTGCAACACAAGATCATCTCTGCTCCTGGAAAATCTGTGTCCTTTAAATAGGCACTGGCAAATGTGAAAATTCCTTTCCTGCCTTTGGAAAGTTGGGTGCACTGAACTCTGACACATGTACACACAGCTGGTATCTGGTGACTTCACTGTTTTGTTGGAATTTCAAAGAACGTTAAGTTAGCTATTTAAAAACACACTACGGAGTGTTTAAACAATGTTACTTTTTCTTTGCAATGGTTTTAGAAAAATACCTGATTAGAAATGGCTAAATAACTGTTTTCAAAGACATTATTTTATTCTATTTGTGGTGTTCTAAACAGCTCACTCTCCCCAAAAGAACGACACACATCACCAAAACAACATCCGTGACAAGTCACTGACACTTCTCCCACAACTTGGATAACAGTACAGATACCCTTTCCAGAATGGAATGCGGGGTAAGAGGGCATCCAGACCAGCGGAAGTCCCGATATACAGGTGCAACCACCTTCAGTTGTATTAGAATATTCTTCCTTTTTTCCCCTACAAGAAAAAAAAATCTTCAGAGGCACCCTTTCATTTTAATACGGCTTTCACTGATATGCAGAGGTAAAAATATGCTGACCCACGTTCTTCTGTTAGGAGGTATCCCATAAATTTGCACAAACAAGGGCGCAGTGGAATTCCGCCACGGGTACCGGAAGTAGAGCGCAAGTAGCAGAGGTAGGGACGCGGGGACGCGAGGGCGATGCGAGGTGGAGCCCTGGGAAGCTGCCCACAGCGGGCGATGGGTCTGGCCGGCGCCCGCGGCTCCGGTTTGTGCATCAGCCGCTGCGGGTCGCGCTCTTACCTCGCAGCCCGCGAACCAGCCTCTCGGCCCAGGCCACTCGGGGCGGCTGCCCGTCCAGGGGGAGGTGACGATGCAGCGGGTCCCCGCCGCCGGCCGGGCTGGGACTCGGCGGGCCCTGGTCCTCTCGCCTATGGCGCCTCCCGCTCGGGTGGCCAGGGTCGTGGTAACCCCCTAGTCCCCGGCCCCGGGCGCCCACGGAGCTCACGGCGGAGGAGGCGGCCGACCTCCGGCTGCCCGGGCGCCACTCCACGTCCATCTCCACCACCATTCCTCCTTCCTCTCCTTCCACCTCCTCTTCCTCCTCTTCCTCCTCGGCCTCGAAGCCCGGGTTGTCACGGCTCCACGCCTGCCGTGAGCACGACGAGAGCGGAGGAGAGGGGGAGGCTGAGGCTCCGGCCGGGGGGTCCCGCGCGGCCGCCTGCCGGATACGCTCCATCTCGATCTCCAGGCCCCTCTGTTCGCGGAGGCCGCCCGGAGCCGCGAGGCCGGCGCCCACGGCCGCGCCGCCCGCCATCAGCCGGCCGGGGCCTGCAGCTCGGGATGCGGGCGGCCGCTTCGGGTCCCCGGGCTGCTGCGGCTGCACGCGGCTCGAGTTCACCATCGCGGTCACTGGCGTCCGGCGCGCCTTCGCCCCGCGCCGCAGTCGGCGCAGCCCGCCGCAGGAGCCATGTTCTTTTCTTCCCGGGGCCCGCCGCCGCCTGCTCCCCGCCCCCGACTCCCCGCAGTCCCGCGTCCCTCGCCCGCCCCCTCGGCCCGCCTCCCCTCGCCTAGCCTCGCCTCGCCTCGCCTCGCCCAGCCGCTGGGGTGCGCTGCCGCGGGAGGTGCGAGGAAGCCGCCCCTGAGGACCGCGCGGTGGGCTAGCGGCGCCCGGGCTCGCGTCCCAAGTGGAGCAGAGGTGCGGGTGCGGGCGCCCACGTTCCGTTCGGGTGCAGGGGCTCCGGCAGGAGGGGTTCGCTGCCCCGCCCGCTCGCGTGCGGGGAAGGGGCTCCTGGTGCTGTCACTGCCTGCGGGACCCTGACATAATGCTTGTTAACCGCCAGGCTCTTCTGCCTCGACTTCCCAAAGTGCAGGGAGAGCGAGAAAACCATTTTGTGGGATGGTGTGTACTAGCGAAATCCAGCCTGCGCTGGTTTGCCGCAGGGGCAGAGAAATCTTAACTTCATTTAAGAACTACCAACAGGCTGCTAATGCTGCCTTGCTTGGCCTTTGGCGGCCCCCTTGTCCCCACTTCTGCCGCTTTTTGGGTGGTTTTTTCAACGTCTGGTCGGCTCCTCTCTCCAGACACTGTGGGGACCCTAAAGATTCCGTCCTGGAGCCTTCAGATCGCGGGTGCTCTGAGCTGGAGCTCATCCACGGCCCCCGCCTGCTGCCGGCTCAGGCTCTGGCTTCGGAGGCACAGTCCCTCGTCAGCCCCGGGGCCAGAACTTTATTCCCACTCTGCGGAGCGCATCCGACTGGAGGTTCTGCAGTTGTGTCAGACTTAACCTATCGCAAATTAAATCTCTGTTCCCTTCCTCTTTTAAGTCTGCCTCACCTCCTGTGCCCCCAGTTGAAATTTGAGGCAGGCTGTCGTCCTTCTCAAGCTAGGCTTCTCCGTGATACCCTCATCTGTCTGCTCGTCTCCTACACCTCTTCTCCCCAAATCTTGTTACTTCTACCCCAAATCTCTCTGATAGAATCGTTGTTTCACATGCCTGTTGTCAGTGTTTTCGTCCAAGGCCGTTGGTGTATGTTTGTTTTATTCCTCATTGGAACAACAAACCTATCAGTTCCACCTCCATTCGCCACTTTCAAGATCCCCAGCGTTCCCAAATTGTATTCAGAACCAAAACTGCTCCCGTCACATTGATGCTTGGATACTTCTGGGGGCTCCTGACAGCTTAATAGATAAAATTTAGTTTCCTTAGGTCTGGTTAGTAAATTTTCTTCATCCGCCCTTGTATTTATTGGTTTGCTACGGCTGCCATGATGAAGTACTCCAGACTGGGTAGCTTAAACAACAGAATTCATTTTTTCACAATTTTACAGGGCGAAAGTGTGAGATCAAGATGTTTGCAGAATTGGCTTCTCCTGAGGTCTCTCTTCTTGCCTTGTAGATGGTGGTTTTCCCACTAGTGTCTTCACATGGTGATCACTTTTAGGGGTCAATGTCCTAATCTCATCTCATAAGGACATGAGACACATTGGATTCAGGCCTATTCTAATTGCCTCACTTTAACTTAATTACCCAGAAAAAAAAAAAAAGATAAAAAACCCCAACCCTGTCTCCAAATACAGTCACATTCTGAGTTGTTGGGGATTAGGATGCCAACGTAGGAATTTTTGAGGGGGACACAATTCAGCCCATAACGGCCCCCTGCTCTGCTTTTCTAGCATTGGTTCCTGTCTTGTATGTACATCAGAGCAGCATCCTTTGTTGCTTCCCTATGTGCTCATAACAGGCTGATTTTATTCAGGTAATCACGGCCACCTATCATCAGTTCTGCAGTTTATTTATTTACTTATCAGTGTCCTTTGCCTAACTTTGAGCTTTTTTAAAGACAGGGCTTGTTTATCCTAACCTACTACCTCAGCCCAAATTCCACGTAGAATTCTTTATTAATTAAAGCTCTCAAACATCTGTTGTCTTTATGTCTGTCAGTTCCTTACAAATTTACTGTCTCTTTGTCTAAAAAATATGAAAACTGCCTGCTTCAGTCATTTGTTTAGGCCCCAATTTCATTATTAGCCCTCTGTGTGCACATAATAAAATTTTAGGGTTCCCCCCCTTATTAATCTGTCCCATGTAAATTTAATTCTAAGTTCAGCTGGAAGACCTTGAAGTGTAGAGGAACAACTTCCCTTTCCTACAGTACTAAATTATATTCTCTTATCTGTTGTTATTTAGACTTAGGGTATGTATCTTGCCAATGACATATCTCCCTGCAGTTATGTCCCAAGAGTGTTTTATCCTGCATATTCTATTAGAATGATAATGTTACTTACTATGCATAGCAAAAGCACAGAACTTGAACTCAATAAATAAATAGTAATTGAATTAATTCTATTATTGTTTTTCCACTCAGTATTTTCTTCCCTGTATCTCTAGACTATAGCCTTGCTAGCAAAAAAAAAAAAAAAAAAAAAAAGTAAGAACAAAAAAGAAACGGATAAACTTAGGAGTAATTTGCTGTGTTCTCAACCTTGAACTGTGGAAAATCAAAACATCCTTGGGAAACAAATATCACAAAACTGAAAACAGCATTTGAACAGTGACTTAAGAATGGTTTCACGTGGGGGATGTCTGGGTGGCTCAGTAGGTCAAACATCCATCTTCAGCTCAGGTGATGATCTCTGGGTCCTGGGCTCCAGCCCCGAGTTAGGGTCTCTGCTTGGCAGGGAGTCTGCTTCTCTCTCTGCCTCTGCACCTCCTCCCTGCTTGTGCTCCCACTCTCTCTCTCAAATAAAAAAATCAGATCTTAAAAAAAAAAAAAGTTTCCTGGGGGCATAAGCTATTCCAAGGCCCCTTACACCTCAGAGGAGAAATGGTGGCATGTGAAGGTTAGAAAGGCCTCTACACAAGGGGCACCTGGGTGGCTCAGTGGGTTAAGCCTCTGCCTTCAGCTCAGGTCGTGATCTCAGGGTCCTGGGATTGAGCTCCACATTGAGCCCCGCATCCGGCTCTCTGCTCGGCAGGGAGCCTGTTTCCCTTCCTCTCCCTCTGCCTACTTGTGATCTCTGTTTGTCAAATGAATAAATAAAATCTAAAAAAAAAAAAAGAAAGAAAAAGAAAGGCCTCTATGTGAAGAATTAGGAAACCCCAGTTGTTTGTTTGTTTGTTTGTTTTTTAAGATTTTATTTATTTGACAGAGATCTGAGAGGCAGAGAGGCAGGCAGGGGGGCGGGTAGCAGGCTCCCTGCTGAGCAGAGAGCCCAGTGCAGGACTGGATCCCAGGACCCTGAGATCAAGGGCCTGAGCTGAAGGCAGAGGCTTAACTCACTGAGCCATCCAAGCGCCCAGAAAACCCCAGTCTTAACCAAAGGTGTAATGGTGTGACTGAAAATGATGATGCCTGACTAGGCTCACACAGTCTCTCAACAATTGCACAGGGAATACAAACCCCTTAAGGATTGGGCTTTTGGCCTGCTGAACTGATTGCTTTCTTTCATAGTGTTGTGCCCCGGCACATAGCAGGTGTTCAGGAACTATTTGTTGTAGGATCCTCTGGGCTAGGCAGGGAGTGTCTGGCCTTAAGACGCTCATAATCCAGTTGTGACAAAAACCAAAAGCCACAGAAGTTATTGTAATAGATGAAAATATTTACCATAATTAAGACAAAGGAGCATGGGGTACCTGGGTGGCTCAGTCAATTAAGCATCGGACTCTTCATTCCAGCTCAGGTTATGATCTCAGAGTTTTTTCTACGGGTTTCTCAGCTTTAAAGATCCTGTCTGGTGATAAGGATATCTTTGTACTTCTTAGTACAGGAAGGATGCCTTGCATATGGGAAACTGATTTCTTGCTGGAGGGAGTTGGAGGCGGTTATAAGTATACTTACACCAAACTGTTCCTTAAGTAACTTTGATTTAAAATAATCAGTATGCTTAAAGTGCACTTTTTGGGGTGGCTTGCCCTTGGGCCCTATGGTATCAAGTCAGTTTGAAGTCTTTCAACACAGGAAGGGGTTGAGGAGAGAGACTACTCAGGCTGGCATGGGAGGGGAAGGTAGGGCTAAATCACAGAAGGCCTGAGATGCATGTTAAAGAGTATAGCCTTTATTTAATAATAATAATAATAATAATAATAATAATGTACCTTCTTTTATAGTGTCAATGATTTAAAACAAAAACTGAAACATTCTTTTTAAGACTACACCATTGTCTCCAAAAGAATTTGGACTCACCAAAAATGTATCCACACATACATAATTCAGAGTTAAATGTATGCTTGCCCAAAATTTTAATTACAAATCTTCACAAGCTATGTGATTTTTAAAAACTTCAGAGAAGTACTTGTGTAACAACGTGGATAGTATTTAATGCACCACATCCTAAATCTTACATTCCAAGAATTTCACTACCACTTCCAATCTTAGTTTTCATAAACCCATCACCAGCCGTGCAATGTATTTCCTGTTCAAGTACCTAGTCATCTTTCTGGCTTCCTAATGTTCTCTCTTGTGCTTTTACCTTGGCATGTTTTCCTCCTTCAGAGCACCTCGCTTTTCCTCAAGTAGGCCTTGAAGCTGTAAATTTCTCTCCCTTCCCACAGAATTCCTTCCTTTGATATTCATCTTATTATTCCTATTTCTCATAAGAAGTAGTCTCTTATTAAATAAATGAGAGGCACAAACTCATATTTTCCTTCACCTGGTTACCATAATCCTGTGGCCATATTGCAAGTTTCGATAATCTACAGGGCCTGAAATACTGTGTGGGATAGATAACATAGCTGGATGCTATTTAGTTTTATTTCAACTGTGTGATAAGTTCTTCTGGAACAAGCTACACAAACCCCATCCCTTTGTCTCAGTGCCATGGTGGATACTCCGACAAACCCTTTAAAAGGCAACTTAAAAATTGTCCAGTCTGATTTAATACGTATTCTCCACGCTTCTGGCTTCTGCATTATTAAACTTGCCTGTTTGTTTCCTGTTTTGC